GTTCAACAGATTAGGGGTTAGGAGTTGTGGAGTTTTCATTTGCTAGCATCGTCATCATTGCTGAATAAATTATCTTTGTAATCGCTGTACTATTTTGATTTATCTCTGCTCCTATACTATTTCTTATTTCTAATATGATTTTGCGTCGTTATTACCGCTCGTCTACAGAGGTCCCGGTATACAAAGGACCACCGCCACAAGTGAAAGCAACGGCAGCTACTACCACAGCTACAACAGCAGCAGCGACAAAAAAGACGAACCTTCCACCGAATAAGATCAAGTGCAAGTTCTACCCCAAGTGTGTCGATATGGAGTGCCCTTATCTTCACCCTAAGGTTGGTTGGTTGATTGGCTCTGCTGTTGTATGATTGGCTGGTTGATTAGTTGGTTGTGCGCGTTGTTATGAAGTTGGTCCATTAGCCGATGGTTGATTTTGACCGTTGATTTCATACTCTTGGATTGGTTGGTCGTTTATTTGGTTAATGACAGCTGATTGGTGGGTTGTGAGACTGTATTTTATAGTTGGTTTGTTTTGTTTGATTGACTGTGTGCATGATTGATTGTTTAACCAACCAACAAGCAATAATCAATCATTCAATAATATAACCAATCGTCTAATCAGCCAACTAACCAACCAATTAACCAACCAATTAACCAACCAACTAACCAACTACTTAACCAACCAACCAACTAACTAATCGACCAGCCAATCAATGAACCAACCAACTAACTAACTAACCAACTCGACAAACAGCCATGCAGATATGGAGTTGGGTGTACCAACAAGAACTCATGTGCATTTGAACACCCGTGCTTGCCGTCAAAGAAGCAGTTGAAGTGGGTGGCCGAGAAGTTCAGATCGTAACCACCACCGCCACCGACGCTGTCGTCGTCATTGTTATGCAATGTTTTAAAATTGTAATCGGTGTCGGCCTGGTTATATGTTTGTGCATTTCTATGTTTGTAGGTTATGTGTTTGTTTGTTTGGATGTATGTATGTATGTTTGTTTGTTTGCTTGGATGTATGTATGTTTGTTTGTTTGTTTGGATGTATGTTTGTTTGTTTGGATGTATGTTTGTTTGTTTCAATTTCAATGTATTTGATTGTCTATCTCTGTATTTATGCGTGAATTTTTATGATTTTTGGATATATTGGTGTGTGTGTGTGTGTGTGTACAATATTATGTATGTACACCTTTCTTAAGAACTTGTGTGTTTGTATGTCTTAGTGTTTGAATGCGATTATGTTTGAGTGTGTGTGTGTGTTTGTGTGTGTGTGTGTGTTTGTCACTGGAAAACTGAAAATACGTTAAATTTGGATGTTATTAATATTTTTCCTTCAAAATTTCGATTGAAAAAGCTTTAATGATTTTAAGATCAATGCGAACTCATAAGATTTTTTCTTGATTAATGAAAGTGTTTAAAATCTAAAGTTATTGAAATATAATTACAGAGACATGGATAAACTTGATGAAACTCTAAAACATAAGCGTTGTGACATTCTGCACATTTCGGATATACACGCACAACAACAACACACATACAAACACACATACAAACCCACATACAAACACACATACAAACCCACATACAAACACACATACAAACCCACATACAAACACACATACAAACCCACATACAAACACACATACAAACCCACATACAAACACACATACAAACACACAGTAGCAACTGCGCAACTTTTGTCTTCTGTCTGTGTAGATATCTTGTCCTTTTCAATCGTTTTCACCCTGATAGATTTGTCACACACATTCACACACACACACACGTGTATATATATATATATATACATATATATATACAGATATACAACGTTTTTTGTATTAAACGGTTATTCATACATGAAAAAACTAACAAATTATTTCTTTCATATGGTTGGTATTTCTAACTTGTCAGAGTTGATGTAGGAATTTCTCTAAAATGCTATTTCGTTTGGACTTCGTGTACTCTGGCTTATTTAGTATAATTTTCATTTTTAATCATTAATAATTATATGTATTGTTATTGATAATTGTAACAAGTTGATGGTTAACTAATTAGTTGGTTAATTAATTAATTAAATTAATTAATTAATAGATAAATGAACATTGTGTTGTTGTGTGTGTTGATTGGTTGGTTGGTAGTTGAGTTGATCCGTGCGGTGTTACAATAATTATTATTTATTTATTTATTTATTTATTACCTATGTTATAATTTATATTATTTATTTGTTTAAGAGGTTGATATATAGGAATTTTTTAAAGTTTTGTTTAATGGTTTTTTTTCTGTAATATTCAGTCAAATCTTAGCACGTGTTTGGTTTCAAGTGATAGTTGAGAATATTATTTTAAAGCAGAATTTAAAAAATTTTTTAGTTAATTTTATAATTAGTCATTATTTAAGGGTCTAATTAATTGGATAATTAAATAATTTTAACTTATTGTCTCAGTGTTCTTTCAGGCTTTCGTTGTTGTGTTAATTAGGAAACAAGGTTAAGATCGCGTAAAATATTTTCTGCGTTCATAATTTATTTACTAATTATTAACGTCTGACAACCATTTTTAAGAATTAATTTTCTTGAATCAAAATTTTGAAATTAAATTAAAAAACAAAAATTAAATAAGAGATTTATAAGGTATAAGTGAACATTCTCTTATTTAAAGTTTATTATAAGCCTTATGCTTCGACAATTAGAAAATGATATAGCATAGCATACTAGTTTGATTTATGTACGTGTATAAATTAGTGTGTGTGTGTGTTGTGTGTGTTTGGTGTTGTTAATGTTAATATATATAGACAAACATACGCAACAGAAATAGCGCAAAAACGCGAAAGCATTGCGTGTAAAAATAAAAATTCCTAATTCAAAACGGAACGAAAAAAGAAAAAGGCAGAGAGAATTTTATTTTATAAAAAAAAAAACTTTAAAATGTAGCAGGAAGATTGACGTGTATCCAATAAAACTAAAGTACAATTAGTACAGTAGTACACGTGTGTGTATGACATCAAATTTAAATGGCAAATTTTAAAATCAATTGATCAATTAGTTTATAAAGCGCTATTTACGCGATGTTCAACAGCTCTCCTCAATGAATTTTGCAAACAGATGGGTCTTGAGATCCGCTCTGAACTTCGCAAGTGATGGAGAAGTAGTCAGAGAAGGAGGTAGAGAGTTCTAGAGAAAAGGACCAGAAAAAGTAAATGCAGATTTAGCAAAGGAGTGTTTAACACGAGTTAAGAAGTGAGAACAAGAACACGATCGTAAACCGAGGCATTCAGGTTCAATTAATATATCTGATCGGAACTTAGGAAATAATTTAGATTGAGACTTATACATGAATGTACAAATTTTACTTAAAGGATAGAGTAGAATCAGAAAGAACATAGTAAGAGCGAGTTACAATAATCAATCCTAGATAAAACTAAAGAAGTAACAAGAAGGAGAAAAGTAGGATCATCAAGAAAAGGCAAAAGTTTTTTTATTCTACGTAGATGAAAGCACGAACTTCTAGCAACACTATTAATCTGAGAAAAAAAAGACATACTAGAATCAAAGATTAAGCTTAGACACGAAACTTATGAGTTACATCAAGAGTTTTAGAATCAGGTAAGATAATAGAAGTAATAGAGCGTTTAGATTTATTAAAACAAATTCAAATTTAGAAGGATTAAGTTTAAGACACATAGAGTCAGACCTAGTGATAATTTAAGAAAGACATAGAGATAGATTACGAAGAACACTATTGAGATTAGATATTAGATAGATAGTGAAAGAAAAATAATTAATAATACAAGGTAGTTTAGTAGTATAGAGTATAAATAGAATAGGGCCAAGGATAGAAGCCTGAGGTACTCCAAAAGTAAAAGTGGAGAAGTTAGAAGTAGAATTATTGAGAACAACAGAAGAAAAACGATTAGAGAGATAAGAAGAAAACCAAGATAGACACAAATCAGTAATATTAAAAGAAAGATCTAGCAACCTCAAGAGAATAGTATGATCATCAGTATCAAAAGCAGAAGAAAAGTTAAAAGCAAGAAGAATAAGATTACTATTGTCACTAGGGAAAAAGATATCATTATGTATTTTGAGTAAAGAAGTTTCAGTACTGTGATCAAGTCTGAAACCATATTGCAATGAATTCGAGTTTAAAAATTTATAAAAAATTTATTTGACAAATTTTTGACGAATCATTCATTCTCAATATATCAATTACTATTTAATTATCATTATGATAGTTAGATTGAACTGAATTAACTTTAAAATGCGTTTAAAAGACAAGTACTTTTTACTAATTGTTGATAATTATGTACTCTTCACACAACTCTTGCAGATTAACTTTCTTAACACTGGTTGAACAAAATGGGCGATTGGTGTTAGAAATAAATACAATATACATACATATACAACAAGGACAATGACGATAAGTGATATTAGTTGATTACCACTACTACACTGAATTCGATTAAAAAAACAAACAAACAAGAAATAACAAAAATATAGCACATTTCGAATCCGACTTCATAATTTAAGTCTATTACGCCATTAACTCGTCACTTAGTACCATTCTTTTGGTTCTTTTTTACGTAGCTCTGACTGACATAGCCAGAACCGCTCACATATCATCCTTGTAGTTGAACCTTTGGGGCCACAAAGACTGTACGATCCCCACCACATGACGTACATACACATTATACACGCGACCATACCACAATTCCATCGGGTATTTCAGTATACACCTCCTTGTATTTATTGTATAGCACGGTACTCACGCTCTAACTGAAATGCAGTTGCATCGTATTGTATCGCAAAAAATATATTGCAAATATAAACCAAGGCTTTGTAAATTTAAAATTGAACGATATATATGTATATATAACATATATATATATATACATATATACATATAGTTTATATATAGTATAGTAAATATATGTGGTAAAATGAAACAGTATAACGTAATTTAATACTGGGTTTTAAAGATTCAATATGAAAACAAAACTTTTTGAGCGCTTAATAAATCAACCATCTTTTTGAACAATGTGAAACGAACGAATTGAAAAATGAAAATATGCAATTTAAATGAACTTATACTGATTGTCTCTGTTTGTTTGTGTGTGCGTGTGTGTGTGTGTGTCGAGATGTGTGTCTATGTTGGTATATGCATGTGTACTGAATTGTACTGTGTAATTGTACTCGTGTAATTGTAATTGTACGGAGCGATGACACGGCTGACATTTCTTGGCAAATATTGCATTTGAGTGCGAATTTTGAAATATTTGCAAAGGAATTTGAAATTACTCGCCTGTACATTTGTATCAAGACAACACGCACGGAACCAACCATCAGAGATGAAATGCCCGAATGTGGACGACATCCAGGTTGTAAGTTTATACACAATCATTGCGAAAATCATAAAATGAAAAAGAATTAAACAATTTCAACGAAGAAATAAAATCTGAAAAAATTATATAGAAATCAAATGATCTGAAGAAAGACACTGTAAGATTTTAAAATAATTAATTAATTTTAATTAATTAATTAATATGTTGGTCATCGTTTCAATGAAAAAAACCCAGCAACCCAAACCAGATCAAGTGCATATCTACAAGACAACGCAGTGAGCTAAGAAGGGTCTGCATGCCTACTACACCGCGAACGACTGTGGCAGATTATTTTGTGTTCGTTTTTGTTTCAAGTGTTTGTTGGCATGTTTGTGTGTGTGTATATATATATATATATGTGTGTGTGTGTGTGTGTTTGTGTGAGGGTATATAAGCGATTGTGTGATCGTACATGTGTGCGTGTGTATAAATGCAAAGTAAAATACGACGGGTTGATAATAAATTAACTAAAAATTTAAAAAAATACATGGCATATTTTAATGTGCGAATAAAAAGAAGGAAAATCTAAAAAGATTATCTGCAAATAAAATTGATTGAACGAATAATGAATGAATGAAGTAAGTTAGCAAACAGATGCCTCTCTCTCTCTCTCTCTCTCTCTCTCTCTCTCTCTCTCTCAAAAGTAAGAGAACGTTTGTAAATGTTCGCATGCATGGAGAACATAAAAATATAAAAACCAGATATGCGTAAACAAACTCATTAACAAAAATAAAATACAAAAACAAATAAAAAGAAGCATGCAGACATTGAAGGGTGATGAGAACTTTCACTGCAGTGCACAGGCAGAAGGATCCCCAGAACCGCCACCAACGGCACCAGCCTCTGAACCGAGGCCCCCACCACTGTTCCTCATCTTCCTCCACCTCCCTGACTTCCTCTTGTCCAACTTCTCGTCGATTGCATGCTCAACTTTTTCATCATCCTCAATCGCCTGCTCCTGGCTGTCCAGTTTCTGCACCAACTCGTCCCTCTTATCAACCAACTCGACCAACTCCGCCAGCAGTAACTTCTCTCGCTGCTGGCCTTCCTCGGTCTTCTGCCAATCAGGGAGGGCCATGATGTTCCTCAGTTCGACACTCAACAGGTTGAACTTCTTCTCAAGGTCCTTCTCCTTCTCGAGCAGGTTCAGTTGCATCTGTCGTCTGATCAGGGCGTTCTTCCGATTTACCAGTCCAAACCATTCCTGCCAGTTTGTAAACAAGTACAAGTCAATTCATCTATGGAGCACAATTCACAAATAAGCAAGTTGAATGTTTTGACTTGAGGTCTACACAATGAGTATAGACGTGATGCCAAAATTTCAAAAAAATAAAACAAACAAATGACGTTATAAAATTGAACGATCATCCCAAGCACAACAAACAACAAACTGTTAGAAAGTGAACATTCCCTAGAACTACAACAACACGACAAAGGAGAAACAGACCCACCTTCAACATCTTCTCCTCCGTCTCATCCCTGTCCCCCTCCTTCATCACTCTCCTCAGCTCCCATTCCAACCCGGCTGCCCTCTCATCAATCAGCAGTTGTTCCTTTTCCAGCTGTTCCATCTCTGTGGCTACGTACATGCTTTTGTCTGGAGAGTTGCAGTCGCCGAAGTTGTTTTGACTCCTCGCGTCTGTCGTCTGCGTGCTAGCTCCAGCCACCGCTTCATCGTTTCCACTATCTTTCCTCGTGCCAGCTTGCTCAGTAGATGTCTTTTCAGAATCGCTCTCTGATTTTTTGTTGAGACGGTTAACTTTACATTCCTCGTTATCTTCATTGAATGAATCATCGTTAGTGAAGACAGTAACTTCGTCGGAGCCGCTTACATTCCCAATCATTTTCACGCCATGGCCTCTGGTACCATGTTCTTTCGAAGTATTGTTCGATCTGACACTTTGAGGCGAATCGTTGTAGGCTTTCGTGTACGAGGGCTTTCTGATGACCTCCGTGATTTGCTTGGAACCCTTGGCTCCGATGATCAACTGCCTCGCTCTCTCCCTAAGTTCCTGCTGCCTCTTACTCATGGCGTTCTGATCTCTGAGATATTTTTCTTGCATCGTTAACGAGTCGTTGTTTGGCTGTGCTGAAAAATTTGAAGACAACAATGTTGACGATGAAGATGATGGCGATGAAGTTGTTGTTGTCATGGTTGTTGCTACCGCTGCTGCTGACGACTGCAGTTGTTTCGTAGTAGTTTGTGGCTGTGAGCAGTTGGAAACTTTGGCTTGCGACATCAAAAACCGGGCCTCCTCTTTCAATCTTTCCTGTCGAGAACTTGCGTTAGATGATCTGCTGAGTTGATCCTTCAAATCGGCTTTGATATTGTTAATGGGCTTGTCGGTCATTGCAACCTCATTGTCGCGGCTTGTGGCCTGGAACGTCGTTTCATCTGTTGTTGAATTGTTAGAGCCCTTGTTTCGATCATTTGCCTTTGTGAATTCGTGTGCTTGTGTATTCGCACAGATCTCCACATCAACTCGCGTTTCATCATTTGCATTCAATTTAGTTCTCGATCTGTTTCTATCATTTTCATTCATTTCATCTTCTTCATCGGAATCAAATGGATTAAGCAGTTGTTTCCTGGTCATCAACTTCGGTCTGTTGCTGCTGCTGCTGTTGCTGGTGTTGATGGTGGTGACCGCACTGGAGCTGTTGTTATTTGAAGAGGAGGACGGTGGTTGAATCGCATTTGCATTATCACTGTTTAAATGTCTTGACTGATTGCCAGGTTGTCTGGTGTCATCAAATTTATTGATGAGCGGTGGTGTTTGAGTAACTAAATTATTATTCTTAGCACCAAATTTGAGAAGTAATTTCTTGTACGGCGGATTCTTGCCAGAGTTTTGCTCAAGTTTGGCCTCTCTGTTCACCAGCTTGTTGTGGTCCCTCTCCAGGCTGGCAACAGGGGTCGGAGAGAAAGACGTGCAGACGGTCGACGTGACAGAGTAGGGTGACGGAGACCTGCATTCGAACCCCGCATCATCCTCACTCTCGTTCCTAAAGTTCTGTTTAGTAGTAGCACCTCTCTTGCCCTCGCCACTGAAATACTGATCAAAGTTGAAGTTCGACGTTGTTTCTCCTGGTTTTGAAGAGCGTGTGGATGGTTTTGAAGTGGACGAAAGTGAAGATGACATGATGCCTCTGTGATCGTTCGTGAAGAAGGATTTGAGCTGGAAGAGGTAGGTTAGGACGCTCAGCTTGTCAGGCACCTTCAATAGAACCATGTCAGAGGGCTCTATCACCTTGGGCACTCCTAAGCTCTCACCGGCGTCGAATGCCTTAGTGGGGGTTTGATCAGTTTCAAAAATTTCTTTCATTGTTAATATACATAGATAAATTTCCAAAGTTATGCTAAATATTTTATGTACTGTCAAAAATTTTTACCAAGTAAGAATTATATCTTAAATCATTTGAGGATGTAATTTAATGATAAAAACTCGAATATAAGAAAAAAAATGACCATGGAGATAGCTCAAATGTGTGTGACTATAAAAATTCGATGAACGAAACGAATGAAGACATCTTCTACGTCTCACACTCTTGTTACCTTAACTTTTTTATTTGGAAATGATAAAATTTCAAACTGAAGTAGGATAGGAAACAGACTGAACTAACTAATTTGCAATTACCACGAACGTCACACGGGTCCAGCGAATCAAAATCTCTAGAAATGAAACATTTTTTTTTTCAAGAAAAACAAAACATTGAGAAATGAATCACTCTGGGAATTAAACATTTAATTTACAAATAAAAAATTTTGAAATAAATTAATCGTATACAGACAGAGAATGAAATTTCAATCCCAACTGACATTAGCTCGGGCCTGAAGTGGTGTATGATGGCGCAAAAAGCCATTCCATTTCTCCAGCTGGTGGTTAGATTGCTGACACTAACATTGCGGTGATCTCTGGTTACATCCTGACACCATTCCAACAAATCTTGCGTCGGAGATGTTGTTATCGTTGTTGATGTCTTTTTGTGTGTTGTTGTTGTTGTCGGGTAAAACTTGTTGATGGTTGCTCCGCTGCTTGCGATGGTCACAGAGTTAGACGAGGTAACGTTCTTCAACGAGTTTAATTAGAACATTCAATTTCAAGTGACTTTTTACATGAGTATCAATTAATTTAGTGGTCAGCTATGTTATAATTTCGTAGAAATCTCATACAAATTTCGTTGGAAAATTAAATTGTTGGGTTGAATTAACGAATAAACAAAAAGTTTCAAACGCAGTAAGCCATTTTATTATATCCATGTCTAAATCGCAAGCTACAATGCCTTTTATCTAATATATTAACACATCTACTCTTTCTATTCAATTTTGTTAAATTTGTTGTCTATTAAAAAACTTTTAAAGTCTGGGTCAGTCCATTCTTTAACCAAAATATTTGCCATTTTCATAAAAAGACAGAATCATGAAAATTTGTAAGTCAACTCAGCGGATAATATATAAAAATTTGACATAATTCCATTCGAGTTTCGTTAGTTCATTCATTCAATCATTCATTTACTTATCCTTTCTCCCATTCATTCATTCGCTCATTCGAGCGGTTGACTGAAGAGACATGGCTCCAATTCCACACATACATACATACATACACACACATACACACACGCACACACACACACACACGCACACACACGCACGCGCACACACAGAGTTAAGCATGCGTTTGTTTAGATAGCAACATGATAGAAAGATGACGGAAAATGGAATGTGTGTAATATGTATATCAAGCGTGCTAATATATATAAATTCCACACACACACAGACACACACATACAAACACACACACACAAACACACACACATACATACATAGATAGACACACACAAGCATGCAAACATGCATGGAGACATACAAACACAAACACACACACATACATACATAGATACACACACATAAGCATGCAAGGAGAGTATGAAAATTAATGAGGTATGACAAAATTCTTATATACAGAAAAAGAACGGTATTTGTATGCAGTACCGAAATACTTATTTATACCACACATAGATCATGTATGTTTGTATAGAAATGATGAAATCTGTTTGTATATAGGCAAATACAAACAAATATTTGTATGTATGTACGTATACAAAGCTATTTGTGTATAGATACAAAGCTACTTGTGTATAGATCCACACAAACACACACAAACAGACACACACAAACAGACACACACACACACACGCCGTACAAACAAACAAATTACCCGCACAAGCAAACGAAAACACAAAAGAGTAGAAATAAAAAATGTAAACATTTTTTAAAGGAAAAAGATGGCACAAAAATAAAATGTCAAGCCACCAGATGATGAAATGACATACAGATCAATATTATATTGGTACATTACATCAGTTAGTGTAAGATGACACACACACACACACACACACACACACGTACAGACACACACACACGTACAGACACACACACACATACACACACAGACACCCAAACAAACACACACACACGCGCGCGCGCATACATAAAACGTCCGTATATGCATACATACACCTTTTACATAACAATGTAGAAAATATTTATTACTATTATTTTTAAATTAGTGAATATAATATAATTATTATAATATATAATATAATTATTATAATATATAATATAATTATTATAATATATAATATAATTATTATCACATTTCCACATCATCCAATTCGCTAACCTCGTTCATTTGTTCCGCCTTCTCTGGGGGTTTAAATTTCACGAACGAGTGCATAAGTTAGTTGTTGTGACATGATGGTGTTAATTTCAAATGTCCGATTAGTAAATACTACTACTATTACTACTACTACTACTAGTACTACTACTACTACTAGTACTACTACTGCTACTACTACTACTGCTACTACTACTACAACTACTACTGCTGCTGCTACTACTACGGCTGTTGCTGCTGCTACTACAACTACTGCTGCTGCTACTAATACTGCTGCTACTACTACTGCTACTACTACTACTGCTACTGTTGCTACTACTACTACTGCTGCTACTACTACTACTGCTGCTACTAATACTGCTGCTACAACTACTAGTACTACTACTACTGCTGCTACTACTACTACTGCTGCTAATAATACTGCTGCTACAACTACTAGTACTACTACTACTGCTGCTACTACTACTACTGCTGCTACTAATACTGCTGCTACAACTACCAGTACTACTACTACTGCTGCTGCTACTACTACTACTGCTGCTGCTTCTACTACTACGGCTGCTGCTGCTACTACAACTACTGCTGCTGCTACTAATACTGCTGCTACTACTACTGCTACTACTACTACTACTACTACTAATACTACTACTGCTACTACTACTACTGCTTTTACTACTACTACTGCTGCTGCCACTACTACTACTGCTGCTACCACTACTACTACCATTACAACAACGGCAACAACATCATCAACTACAAAAACATCAATAAAAACAACAACAGCAACAACAACAGCAACAACAAACCTATATCATCATCAGCATCATCTTGATCCTCTAAATAGTGGGCTAAGTTGTATCTGTAGAGGTTATATAGTAGGTGTACTATGGACACAGTAATGTATTAGTACATTAGTGTAGTACATTAGTGGAAGATTTGTCAGACGGGCAGAACAAATAAAAATAATTAAAAATAATAATAAATAATAATAATATTATTATTTTTTATTAATATAATGATGATAATAAAATCAATCAACAACCTAATAAAATGGTTATTAGAATTAACTTGAAACATAAACACACACACACACACACACATAAACCCACACACACATACACAAACACATACAAACAAACACACACACACACACATAAACACACTCATACACACGAAAAAACCAACACAACCGTACTTAGTTCAACTTCAAACAAATAAAAGTACGGCAGACAGAAAATAATATGAATCATAAAAAAAACCAGATTAATGAAAGATAATCCCCGAAATAAAATCCTTCTATTGATTTAGTATGGAAAACCACACGAGCCATAAAACAAAAAAAGATAAAATATAACCATTCATTAAATTAACAAATATTCATAAATGGTAAAAGTGGGTTGATGGCTTAATGGTTAAAAGCACATGGTTTTGCTGCTGTAGTGAACGAGTTCGAATGCAAGCAGATCTCAATTTAGTACTTTTCAAGCCTATTCTTATAGGCTGAGTGTGTTTGTCGTTAGCCGATGTTCGAGAGATTATGATGACCTTTAACCTTCACCTTTTTAAATGAAAAGGCTGTGTGTGTTTGTCGTTAGCCGATGTTCAAGAGGGTATGATGACCTTTTACCTATACCCTTTTGAATGGAAAGGCTGTGTGTGTTTTTATATAAAAAAATTTCACATTTCAACCTTGCTTTAACCGCATGTACTGACATAGAAGTTGCTGAAACTACTGTTTACAAAGTTAAAACATTATCAATCCACAAACACTGGCATTATTTTTAAAACTTCAACGAACTTATTATCATTGTTGTTGTTGTTATTGTAACATAAGCTAAGATTTGTTTTTATTGAGAAAAAAAATAATAATTTGATTAAAAAACGAAACGTCATCGCTGGCACTCCGACCAACTGAATGTTGTTATTTCAACGTGTTAAAATGTTCTAGAATGTTTTCAAATTAATAATATTCTCAATTTTCAACCTTTCGGCTAAACTTGTAACTTTTGCAGCTTTCCATCCGCCGCCATTTTTGCTATCTTTACGTCTTTTAGGATCTTTTGCAACGTCATCGGCGTCGTCGTCATCGCCATCGTGGTCACCACCGTGCCGATGGGATCTGGTCATGCTCATGAAGCTCGATATGCTAATCATATCGTCATCGCTACAATTGAGTGGGTGGGTGGGTTTGTATGCGTGTGTGCGCGCGCTTGTATTTGTATGTATGTCTGTGTGAGTGTGTGTGTGTGTTTGTGCCTGTGAGTGTTTGTGTGTGTGTGTGTTTGTTTGTCTTTGTGTGTGTGCGCACGTGTGTGAGTAATTGATTTTTTGACTGTAAACGTGTCTAAAATTAGAGAGCCATCTTTGTTACAAAAAGCACATTGCTTTATGAGCTCTAACCCTACCTGGTTTTTGTGTGGGCATGAAAAAAAGCTGTTGTAACTAAGGGTTAACAGACAGAAAAAAAAACTTTATAGAGATTGTTGGGAAAAGGAATCAAGAAGCAGTCAATTTATACGTTTCATGTGTGCGTGTATGTGTGCAAATGATTGTTGTTGTGTGTGTGTGTGTGCGTGTGTGTGTGTGTGTGTGTGTCTGTAAGGATTGTATGTGTATTGTTTGTGTACATAATAGCATATGTTTGTGTGCGTAAGGTAATGTGTTGTATATGTGTTACCATTTTGTATATGTGCATATGTGTGTGTATGCGTGTGTGTATGCGCATTTACAAAATGTTTATTTATTAATGTTTAGTTAAATATTTTCATGTTTTTGTTAAAGAGTGCATCAACAAATGTTATATCGATGTTTAAATTTTTTTTTATTCATAGTTTAAGCTGTTTATTTACACAAGCAAGCAAAAATATTTAAGTATAGTGTTAGTAAATTAGAAGATAAGATTTCGTGTTTCTATGTTTAATGCACGTTTTAGCCACATGTTACTAGGGTTCTAAGCATCTAACTATAAAAAAACCATTATTATTATGTTTATTCAACTATTCAATGTTTTGTTTCATGTGTATTTAACTGTTCAATGTGTATTTCTATGTGAATTCAAATGTTCAATGTTTAGTTCTATGTGCATTTAGGTATGCAGTGTGTATTTTTATGTGTATTTAGGTTTGAAGTGTGTATTTTTAGAGTGTACTTTGGCGTATTGAAATATATTTTCAGCGTGCATATTTTTCATAGGTATGTCCCTGGTATGATAGTATATCGATGTATGTGTATGTGTGTGTATGTTTGTATGTGCGTATGTCTGTATGTGAGTGTATGTATGTGAATGGTTTGTATAATAATACAAATATGAAAGATCGATATGTGTGTTAATTTATACAAAAAATTATCTACTAAAAAGGTTTTTATGGCTAATGGATTATACTCAAAATATGAAAAATGAAAAAAATAATAATAATATCAACAACAATAATAATAATAACAATAATAGCAATGATGATGATAACGAAAATATAAAATAAGCAGATGACAACAAAACAGATGAAATATCAGAAGTGGATTGAAGCAAAGCTTTACATGGAATTATTAATGTTATTATTGTTATTATTGTTGTTGTTGCAGTTATTATTATTATTATTATTATTATTATTATTATTATTATTATTATGCAACCTCTGCTTCAACCCCTTTATGAAAAAACTCGAAGAAACCGAATTTCAGCAGTGCGGTTACATATGGGGTCCCACAACAAGCCTTAGAACAAGAGCATGGTTACAATTTGCAGACGACACAGCAATCATCGCCAACAACACCGAAAGTGCACAAAAGCTTATTGACATAAACCGGGCATGGTGTATCGCAACCGGCATGAAATTAAGAATTGATAAATGTTCAACATTCGGTATGAGGAAAAAAAACGGTACTTATGAACAATTTCTCCCGATGCTGATTATCGATGAAAAACCAATTCCTCATGTCGACATAGGCGGACACTTTGTCTATCTGGGCAAAACCTATGATTTTGAAGGCAACAACAGTAGGGCTAAAGAACAGCTGAATGGTAAGCTAAAAAATTTGCTATTAGTGATTAACAAACTGGACACGACGGCAAATTGGAAACTACAAATTCTACGTAGATATATACCGTCGCAATTGGCATTTGAGTTGCGGACATACGACATTTCCTTGACCTGGATAGGCAACTGCCTTGACCCTCTCATTGTTGAATCGGTGAGATCATGGCTGTCACTACCTATCAGCAGCTGTGTGTCTGAATGCATGTCGCTCCCCTTCAAATTGGGAGGCTTGAACATTAGGTCTCTCAAGCACTATGCCGAATCTATGCGAATTAAACTACGCGATTATCTAAAATCAAACGGCAAAGACGAACTTAAGTGCTTGTGGGCCGAATCATTCAACAACTATATTGCGGTGGATAATCAGCTACCCGATTCGAACGACATCAAATCAACGCTCAAGGCACTAGTACTTCGACAACAAAGTACAGAATTTACACGGCTGACCTCACTCCGATGTCAAGGTGTGGTAGTCAAGGCAATCAGTGATCATATTCCGGCAACTAGAATTGATCACTGGTCACGATACATTGCAAACCTTCCAGAGGTTCTATTCAGATTCGTCCGGAAAGGTTTAATTCAGCAACTGCCAACAAATGCCAACCTGTCCAGATGGGGAAAGCCTTCCACTGCCCAGTGCTTGTTATGCAATAATCTACAAACGAATAAACATGTACTATCCAACTGCAGTTCTTCGTCGGCACTGGATAGATACACAACAAGACACAACAAAATATTGACAATAATCCTCGACAAATTAAAATCATGCGCCAACCCAGATGTCTCCATTTTTGCTGATCTAGAGACGGGAGATGTTCAACCACTATCACGCTTATTCAAGTCATTGCGACCAGATATCGCATTGCTACGCGGTGAAACGTTGGAAATTCTGGAATTAACAGTCTGCCATGAAACCAACTTCCTCAGCTCAAAAGAATATAAACTATCTAAATACTCCAATAATTTGAAAAATAACTTAATTGACGATTGCAAACATTTGAAAATAAAAATAAATACATTCGAAATTTCTACATTGGGTTTATTCAAGCAATTTAATTTATCTCATATAAACATTGTTTGGTCTGATAACTTTTGCAATGACCTTATTAAGTCTGCTGTATCATCGTCGTACGCTATCTATTGTGATAGAAATTTGAAATGAACCAATTTTGAAACTAATTAACTCTGGCTGTACTCACTCGATTTGAATGATGAGCTTCGCAGATTTGATAAAACACTAATTATTTCATTTGTATTGTCATTTTTATTGATTTTATTGATGAATAAAAGATTGTTCCCATTATTATTATTATGGTTATTATTTTTGCAATAAGCATTCAGCTGAACTGAAAATTCAAGTTATTTAGTTTACTCTATGGAAAAATAAGCTAATGAATTTCATAAACTGAAATATGAATAAATGAATGAATGAGTGAATGAATGAATGAGTGAATGAATGAATGAGTGAATGAATGAATGAATGAATGAGTGAATGAATGAATAAATGAATAAATCTATGAATGAATGAATGCATGAATGAATGCATGAATGAATGAATGAAAAGAAAGAAGAATGAACAAAACTATATATAATGCGTTAAAATGTTAAATGTTAAACAAATGGTTTAACACTAAACTCTGCCTATGTTAACAGAAATGAATTATAAATAGAATTAAACTAATGCTAAGTTAGCCAAGCATGCAGTTATAAACAGTTAAAATTAAAATGTTATATAACATTAATTCGGGTAACCAAATAAAAGTAAATAAATAAAATAAATAAATATATTGATAAAAAATAAAATGATGAAATTAATTAATTAAATTCAATAGTTAATAATTTAATGATTAATTTTATTGATAACAATATCATAATTATGGCAAAAAAAGTTTGTTAGCAAAACTTTAGCCATTAGCCATCAATAACAACGACAACACAAATACAACAACTGATCTACATCACAAACAAATGAACAAATGAACGAACAAACGAACGAACGAACGAAAGAATGAACAAACAAACGGAAGGACGAACGAACAAACAAACGGAAGGACGAACGAAAAAACTCACGTGGCTTTGCCTCTCTTAATGAGAGACGATGATACGGTGAATCGTATATTGACACTGGTGACTTTTTTGTGTTTCGACTTCAAGGGCATCTCTGTCGTAACCTGGTTGATTTTGCGGGTCGTGTAGTCACTCATGTTTATCAATTGGTGGGCCAGTAGGGTTTCTTTCTGTTTGGAAAGATTTGTGATTGGTCGGTTGGTCAACTGACTGATTGATTAAATCATTTGATTAGTAGATTGACTGATTGTTTAATTGACTTATTATTTGATTGATTGACTGATTGATTGACTTATTGATTGATTGACTGGTTGATTGATTGATTGACTGATAATTTGATTGACTTACAAGTTACTTGATTAAGTGATTAAATTGTTTGATGGATTGATTTATTAGTTGATTGGCTGAATGAATGAGTAAATCATTTGATTAACTGAACGATAGAACGAATCGATTAACAGATTTATTAATTGACATATTGATTGATTGACATATTGATTGACTGATAGATTGAATGATTGATTAACTCAAAAATGGTTAAAAAATTAATCTATTAATCCTATGTGACCTAAAAAATTATAGATGCAAATAGAACCTTGATCAATTAATAAATATTAAAGGTCATCTGACAATGTACAAAGGACACAGAATCGAAATTCTCTACAAAGTACATGAATAAATTAGAGATACATCATTCTGTATAATTACTCCAATATTAAATGAATAAACTAATTAATTGACCTAATTAATTAACTAATTAATTATTTATTAATTTGTTTTTCCATACCCTGCGCATATCCATACCTCAAAGACAGCAAAATCCCATTCCTTGGCCTCAAACTTTGAACTCCGGCCACTTCTAAACATAGTGATGGTGGCCACCAGATTATCTGGGACGGTCAAGGACACAAGAAATCTATTTTTAACATCTGGGTCGGCAACCAATGGATGAGTCTACAATTAGGTCAGTACAGTGAATATACAAAAGTTTAATACCGATACAAATGAATGAATGAGTTAAAGAATGACCAGAACTAAAAAAATAAAAAAATGAATAGATGAATGAATGAATAAAATAAACGGATGAACGAAAGAATAAATAATAAATGAATGAAAAATGAATGAAAGAATGAGTGACAAATCAACTAACATCAGTGCACTCCTTCCTACCTCTTCTGGACCACACGACATACACACACAACGGATACCTAATAAGATATTTTTATTAAAATACCCAACACATAATGAACAGACCAATAAAATGTGCCCTACTAAACTAAGGCAATAGTTTAGTTAGCCTCCCTTCATAGTATTGTTACTACCCACACATACTAATTTAGTTCTACTCTACTAAATATAGCACTACATAGTCTATACTAAAGAGAATAGTATTATTTTACTATAACATTACTTAACATCATTTAGTTATTGTTATATAAACTTAAAATTATTCATTTTTTGTAAGAACAATCATTTTACTATACTTTTTTATTTTTCAAAATTGCTTAAAACAAAACCAAACATTTGTTATCTCTTCCAAAATCAGATTTACCTGTTTTTTACTTTACAATGTAAAGTTTACATACATTACAAAAGATTACAGTTACATACATCTATCACAATATACTAGGAAAGCACAGACTCACCAATTCTCCTGGCAGTCAATGATGAGGTCCTGGATGGAAACAGTGAACTGAAACTTGCAGGCCTCCTTGCCTACCCTCTGCAATCTCTTCCACATCAGAGAGTTTTTTTTATTTTTTTATTTTTATCTAACAAAAACTTTAAAAAAATTTTGAAGAGGAGTGGACAGCAATCCCAATCTTCTCAAAATTGCAAAAATATATTTCTATTTTGCTGAATCGGGCATTGAATCTCGTTCATTTTTGAAGACGTCGTCACAAGACGTCTGCCATTTAAATGGCTCCCTAATCTAATTAACTGTAATCTTAGAACTTTGTAATTGCATACTTTTCATTGCTTTAAAAGTTAAGTCGATTAGAATAAAATTGTTTAGCGCTTTATATTTTTTTTTCAAAACTTTTATGTTGGTTTATCTCGTATCCATCACTACATTATCCTAATCTAGGTTATAAAATAAAAAAAGTTTTAAATTTGTCACGTGTGTGTCTACACACAATTTTATTTTTTTTATCAAAAAAAAACCAATGATTAATCAAAAATTGACATTTATTGCATCAAAATACTAAAAAATGTGAAAATACATGGACAAAAACAAAATATAAATACATAGGTTTGATTATGCAAGAAAATATTTGAATCATTGACTAGTATTTATCGTATGGTTGTATGAATTCTACCTTATCGAATTAGTGTAAAAGTTGAAAATTTTTCAGTTAATGTGCAGTGATGATTTCTCGATTCTACAACATTTAAATTCATTTAATTTTCATGGTCATTCAAGATTCAATAAATCCCTGGCTTGTACCAAAATATTAATCAATGAATCGACCGATCAATCATTCATTCATTCATTTACTCGTTTATCTATTCAATCAATCAATCAATCAATCAATCAATCAATCAATCAATCAATCAATCAATCAATCAATCAATCAATCAAATCAATCATTCAATTATTCAATCAATCCAAAATCCATTAATCAATCAATCGCTTAACCGACAATAATCAACCCAAAAATCTCACCTTTAATTTTTATTCATTGAAAAAAAATAAGCTCCCTTACAACCCTACCAAATTTGCGAAGATGTCCAGATAGCATTTTCCAAATAGGCGAAATTAGCGATATTACGTAGGATCGATAATTTGTGACGTAATAACGAAGGTATGTCTGACGTCATAATGACGATGGTATGTCTGACGTCACAATGATGAAGGTTGATTGATGTAGCGTGCAACAACGCGATGCACGCACATTAAAACAGTTTATTCAGATAGTAATGAGAAGATACTATTGCTTATAAAGCAGTTATAAAATCGCGGAACAAAGTATTAAAAAAAAATCTTCACGAAAACAAACGAAAAACAAAATACTAAAGACAAAAAAAATTCAACAGGAATAAGAAACAAAATAAAAAAAACTCGCGATGGACGCTGGAATGGTCAATAATAAAATGGACCCTCTAGAATGTTGACAGTAAAAAAAAATAAAAACAAACATTGGAGAACATAATTTGAAAAAATCGAATGCAAAAATACTGCGTGATACTCGCTGACAGGAGTAAACAAAACAACAACAAAAACAATGACGTCAGCAAAACTATGGACAGCCAAAAGAAAAAAATTTCACACATCTCATCTAATCACATCCTATCTTATGCTATCCCATTCGATCTAGATCCGGTCCTTGCCCTGTTTTATCTCGTCTAATCCCATCTTATCTTATGCTATCCCATTCGAAGTCCCTACAATTTCAGCGGGAAGGGATAGAACCAGGAACTATCGATCTAGATCCGGTTCCTGCCCTGTTTTATCCCATTACCAAATTGGGATCATGTGAGAATTAACCTTGAAATCTATTGTTTACGTCAAAGTAGGCTGATTGCTTTCGTTGCTCGTCTTGCGAAATAAAGACTGGAAAGAAATATTTTTCCAATATTTGAAAAAAAAATCTGTGAATGAAAGTAAGATGGCTGATAAATATTATAAAAGCTAAACTGCTCTCCCTCATTTTTTTTTCTCTCTCTCTCTCTCTCTTTCTCTCTCTAGAATCAATTAACATCAATTTTAAAATGAGATACAACGAATGTTTGAGATCAAGAAGATAGTGACGGATCAATTAACAATATTAACTAATTAGTTAATTAAATACTTAAGTAACCAATTAATCAATTAATAATACGACAGTTATGAATGAAAAGAGTATTATAACAAACAAATAAATAAATACAAAGTAACGTTACTCAAATATAAATAAATAAATATATATATATATATATATATATATTATATAACACTTATATAACAATTATATAACAATTATAGCATCATAAATTGGGTAACAAATAACGCCATTGGGAGAATGATTGGACATTGAAGTATGAGACGAGAGAGATCTAAAAAGTATAGCAAAAATATATAGATAACATCTATCATTTAATTAATTTATTAAACATTAATTAATCAATTAATTAATTGATTCATTCGTTAAATAATTTGATCACAATATAATATAAAATACATCAAACTGTTATATTTATTAGCTGCTATAGACTGAATGAATGATTGAATGAATGATTGAATGAATGAATGAATAGATGAATGGATAAAAAAATGAACGAATGAATGAGTGGATAAACGAATGAACGAATGAATGAATGAATAAATGATTATCTAGGTGAATAAAATAAAATACAAAAATACATAAAAATTAATTATAACTCTGAGAAGACGGGGTGACATTAAATGACGATGACGTCATCGCCGTTGTTGCCGCTGCCATTGCAGTATCCTGTTGCCGCCCATGTTGCGGGGTTGCAGCGAGAGACTGTTGATGGGGTTTCTTGAAAATGTTGCGGAGACTGTTGCTCAACTGTTGCAACTTTTTCACGTGTTGCTGCTTGCCCTGTTGCTGAGATATGCTCTGATCTGTGCGTGTGTGTGTGCGTGCGTGTGTTTGTCTGTTTGTGTGTTATGCGTATGTGTGTTGTGTTGAGTGTGTGTATCACCATAAAACAATTATACCATAATAAAATTATATCATAAAAGATACTATCTAAACTGAAGACAGAGTATTAATGAATGAGCAATAGCAAATAAAACGATGCAAAATGTACAGACAACATGATAGGATACGAACTAACATGTAAAAATCAGAGCAGCAAGATTATTTAATGGCTAAAATTGCAGACAATGTGTGTGGTCCGGCCTTGACCCAGGCTTATTCACACATTAATGAATAATGTAGATGGAGAGAATGAGAAGAAAGGGAGAGTGATTAAAAGAGGCCAAGAGAGAGAGAGAGAGAGAGAGAGAGAAAAAATTGAGCCAAACTTAACTGTAGTAGACATCGCATTGCCTGTAAGGACTCCTGATTGGAGTGTAGAGATATGATTGGTCGGCTGCAGCAGACGGTCGTGACGGTAGGGGCGTGAGTGTTGCTGACGTCTGCATGCGTGGCGATGGCATCACCGGTGTGGATGTCATCTGTGGCGATTTTGTCGTCGACGTCGTTTGTGGCGATTTTGAGGTAGCTGCAGTCGTCGGGTCGGCGCTCTGGGATCTTGATTTGTCTTTCAGACTGTTGCTGTTCCTCTTTTTTCTTATTGACGAGAATATCGACCAGTGCTTGCTGCTGCTGTTGTTGTTTCTGTTGTTGTTGTTGTGGTGAAACTGTTCGTTCTTCTCTTCATCGAAAGAAACCACGACGCAAATACCATCCCTCTTCAGCGAGGTGCACTGCTTCTCACTTGTCGACAGTCCTACACATCATGGAGAAAACCATTTGAAAATAAAAAAAAAACCAACACATGCCAATTATTTTTGACAAAACTCAAACTTTTGTGGGTGGAGTTAATAAAATTAGCCCAATCTAAATGTTTATCTATAGGACATTATGAAATGTAGGCGGGGCCCAGCCCAATCTAAATGGTTATTTATAGCACGACGAGTAGAATTTTAAATGCAGGCGGGACAATTATATCGATAATATTATTACAAAAAAATAATTATTTGAACAATATAATTTCGATATATCTAACTTTGATCCGAGTTGAGGGTTAGACTGGAGTTCTCATAGGATGGAAAGTCGTCTCTTTTTCCATCAACCCTCTTATCTTCCTCATCGTCACCATCATCACAAACGTAATGTCCATCCGCATATTCATCATCGTCATCATCATCATCCTTATTATTATTATTATTATTATTTCTCAGCCTGTTTCCAGGACTCTGTTCCATGATTGATTGATTGATTGATTGCACTAATTATTTACTTACTTACTTATTAATTAATTTGATGATTAAGATTTCAAATGATGAAAGCCCGAATTGGATGATTTGTAACAACAACAACAACAACAACAAAAACAACAGCAACTACTAATACTACAACAACAACAACAAAAATAATAATAATAACACACCAACCAAACAGCCAGTCAGCCAGCCAGCCAACCAACTAGTCAATCAACAAGCCAACAAACCAGCCAAACAGCCAGCCAACAAACCAACAACCAGTCAGCCAACCAACCAACTAATCAATCAACCAGCCAACCTTCAAATAAGTTGCTGTTGATGATGTCGTCAAATTCGTATGATGACAGTAATCATTCAGCATGTATAAAAACTGATGGTTAATTTTTTCAAGGATTTTCTTATCATTCATTCATTCATTCATTCATTCATTCATTCATTCATTCATTCATTCATTCATTCATCCGTCCATCCATCTATTATTTCATTCATACACTCATTCCTTCATTCCTCCATTCATTCCTCCGTTCATCTCGCCCTATCACTCAGCACGGTATGAAAGCCGTCCAGTTACATTTGATCGCACACAATATATGATAATAATAAATTAAAATAATAATAAATAATAATGAATAATAATAATAATAAATAATAATAATAATAATAATAATTACTTCGGCATTGAGAGTGCCGGCGATAACATTCGTGAGTGGATAACGGGACATGAAAAAATCACCACCACCATCATCATCACAGCAGTTATTATTATTATTATTATTATTATTATTATTATTATTATTGCTAGTCAAACTGTCCGCGTTTCTAACGCTCCTGCTATTGAAACTGAACAATTTCGTATTAACATTATTGTTATTATTATTGTTATTGTTTGTGGTAGTAGTAGTAGTAGTAGTGGTGGTAGTAGTGGTAGCGGCTTTAGAGTCCACAAGAAAGAGTGGTATGAATTTTTTGCGCGGCGCGTCTATCAGCTGTTTCACAGGCTGAATAGTGGCGCACAGCAGCTCGAATTTATCTGCGTTGTTGAAGGGAGGAATGAATTGAGGAATGAATGAATTAAGGAATGGAATGAATTATTGAATGAATGAATGTAGATGGATAAATGACAGAATGAATGAATAAATGAATTATTTAATTAATGGATAGATGAATGAATGAATGGATGATTGAATGATAGATAGAATGAATAAACAAATGAACGAATAAATAAATGGATGGATAGATGAGTGAATGAGCAGATAAATGAATAAATGAATGAATGAATGAATGAATGAATGAATGAATGAATGAATGAATGAATGAATGAATGAATGAATGAATGAATGAATGAATGAATGAATGAGCAAATGAATGAATGGAAAAACAAACAAACGAACGAACGAACGAACGACTACAATGATACAAATAACCAACCTTGAACGTATGAGAATACTTGGATCCGGAGATAGCAATTGAGAATCTTCATTGGACTGTGTGTGTGTGTAGTATGTAGATATTCATTTTAATTTTATAAAGTCTGTCGTGTGTGGTGTGTATGTATGTAGTGTGTGGTGTGTATCTATGTCATCTGGAATGTTTGTATGTAGTCTTGAATGTTTGTATGTCGTCTGGATTGTTTGTATGTCGTCTGGTGTGTTTGTATGTCGTGTGTGGTGTGTATGTTACTTGATAAACAAGAACAAAATATTGAAATATTATTTTAAACTGTCAAATCAGAAAAAAAAACTAACAACAAAAAGGCTTCATCAAAGTAGGGATTTTTCGAATTCTTGATGTGCGAAGATTCTTTTGTATGCTGGTAGCAGGAGTAACTTTGTATATCATTTTGTTGTTGTTGATGTTGTTGGTGTTGTTGTTGTTGATGTTGTTGTTGTTGATGTTGTAGTTGTTGATGTTGTTGTTTCAATTTTTGCAATGGTGACGATCTATTGTACAGTTGTCGTTGTTGAGGTTGTTGTTCAATTCTTATAGTCACAGAGCAGTAGATTTCATTGTAAGCTGCGTATGCGTGTGCGTGTGTATATAAATTCATTCATTTGAACATTCATTCATTCATTCATCATTTTGTTCCTTCCAACATGTTTAGATTCATTCACCCTCTTGTTCATACATTCTTTCAATCATTTAAACATTCATTCATCCATTTACTAATTTATACGTTCATGCATTCGAAGGTCCATCGATTCATCTATCCATCCACTCATTCACTCACTCATTCACTCACTCATTCACTCACTCATTCACTCACTCACTCACTCATTCACTCATTCATTCATTCATTCATTCATTCGCTCACTCCTTCACTCATTCATTCATCCGATCACTCATTCATTCCTCCAATCCCTCGACGATTAACCTTGCAAAGGTAGGAGCAGTGATTCAATCTTGATCAGCCTAACCATCAGAACGTCGAACGCGGAAGGAGAATAATTCAGATTGTTGTAGAAGAGTGCATTATTATTATTATTATTGTTGTTGTTGTTATTGTTGTTATTATTATTGTTGTTGTTGTTGATGACGTAGTTGCGGCTACAGTGCAAGTGTTTCATTAGCGGCGTTCCAGGAGTCGATGACGTCATCAAGCGCTGGCGCGGAAAATAGTAAATAATAATAATAATAAATTTTATTATCGTCATGATGGGAATAATAAGAATAGTAGTAATAATAATAATAATAATAATAATAATAATAATAATAATCCTTGTTATTATGTCGAAATTAATTTTCTGAGGTATCAACAACACACACACACAACGACAACACACACGCACGCACACACACACACACACACACATACACACAAACGACAACAACAACAACACACATATACACACACGCACGTGCGTGGAGTCATATGCATGTGACAGACGGGGATCTGTTTGCGTTCGAACGCGCTCAGTGCAACAATAGGACACTATCGCTTCTTAATTATCCATCTATCATCATCATCATTTTTATCATTACAATCATCACCACCACCCCATCATCATCATAACAACCAACGTCTTCATCGTCATGATAATTTTCGTCATCATGATATAATAATATCTTACTTCTTTTGCAATAGTGCTAAAATTCGTGTTCAAAAACTTAGTTACACTATTGTTTTTATTATTATTGTTGTTGTTATAATCATTATCATCATTATTATTATTATTATTATTATTAAAGTTGCACTGCATATCATCAGCATATTGCTTTGAGTTAAGCAATTGCTTCAAACTACCATCTTGTTTATTTATATTACTATTGCTGTTGCTGTTATTATTATTATTGTTATTATTATTGTTATTGTTGTTATTATTATTCAGGCATTTGTCGTATTGATGCGAGTTGTAGAAGTGCTGGAAGATATTAGACAGGTAGGGGACGTTTATGCTGATGTTGAACTCGAGGACGGCCCTCTGGACAGCCCCCCTCAAGAGTTTGCCCTAAAAATAGTTCACCATTAGTTATAACCAATAATAATATGAATAATAATAATAATAAAAATAATAATATAAATAATAATATGAATATGAATAATAGTATGAATAATAATGTGAATAATAATAAGATCAATATAAAGAATGTATATAATAATAATAATAATAATAATAATAATAATAATAATAATAACAATAATAATAACAACAATAATAATAATAATAACAATAATAATAATAACAATAATAATAATAATAATAATAAAAATAATGATGATGATAATGATAATAATAATAATGATAATGATATTAAAGTTCCTTACCAAAAACCTGTCAAGATTATCGGCATCATCGTCAGCGATTCTTCCGATTGCATCATCATCATCATCGTCATCATCATCATCGTCATCGTCTTTACATTTTTGGATAACTATTCTACCCCTAAGACTATTATCATGGCCGTCATCATCATCACCAACTTCACCGTCGTCGAAGTTGAAAATTGCGTTGAGGTGAGATATAGGGCCCAGAGTTATTTTTAGCTGCATCTGCACGTGATGAATAAATTAGCATGATTTACACGTTTGCATAAATTAATAAAGTGAACGAACAAGATGAATGAACAAAACGAATGAACACACTCTAGATTAGAAAAGCGATAGAAATAAAAGCACTATGAAGAAATGGAAAGTTATACAAACAGACAAACAGACAAACAAACAAACAAACTAACTAACAAATAAACAAACAAACAAAAAATATCTAAAGGCGAGACTAATCGATGATTCACTTGAAGAAATTGAATTGTGGTTAATTCTCCATCTAAATAATTTTTCCATAGTCATGGTTTTACAGGAGTTGTTGTTCATGACTTGTTTTTTGGCTTGTTGTGGCTTAACTCTATCTACTATGTAACTGACTTTGGTAAAAGGCACGGCACGAGTGTACTGTATTGTACGGGTACACTGATGTCCTCTGCCCGTCAAACGCTGAGAAGTGTCGTCATTGACCTTTGAAACACTTGAAAGTTGCACACTATACGCATCTAACTAACATTCTCAAGTACCTCATAAACAACAAAAACAAAGTAAACAACAATTTCAAAAAAAAAACGACGATAAACACAACGTGCTACAATGGATAGGGCACCTTAACATCACACGCTAATACGATGGCGTAACTGTCAAGGTGCCTGGCATTTCTGTCGAAGGGACTGAACTCGAGTACAAAGAGATTCCTCCCTACCACATGCAAATTGTGCATATTGTCGAAAAATACAAGAGAAAATATCAAAAAATTAGTAGGCATCCATCTAAGTAGAAAAAACGCCAAAAACTGGATTTGAGTGTACCGAACCAAGGGTTAAAGTTGGCCTCAACATTGGCAATAATTATTCTAATGATGTGGCTAAAGTAAGAGCAATGTACAAACTAACACACACACACACACTCACACACACACGCAGACATACAAAATAAAAAATGTGTTAATATGCAAAGCAATTCAAATTATCCTGTAATTTGACAGCATGCGAGATACATACATAGGTATGCTCCAAAGTTTAAAATCTCGCACACACACGCACACACACACGCACACGCTTATATACTTTTGAAAAGTAGATCACTCGTCATTTATTTCATTCACTTTCAGTACTTTGCTAGACTGACAATAATAAATCAACCTAGATTAAAATATTTCTAAACAGTAATACAGGTGCAAACAAATCTCAGTCGAACGATACAAATCCGTCCTAGGAGCAAGTAAGTCACATTCTTCCTTCTATTTAGCATTCATCTTATTAATTTTGCGATTTCGACATCTTTTATTGATGAATATTGTGTAGTTATTATTGCTAACTAAAATTATATAAATTTATTTTTCGTGGCACAAACTCACAATTCAACGTGTAGCTGTGTGATTAGAAAATTTTGAAGCCTATAAGACACAAATTTTTACATTAATTACATAGAAACGGCACGTGTTTGCTAGTTAAATAATGAAGAATCAAAATTATTTCACTTGAAATCTTGCTTTTATTGAAATTTTTTTATGTAGCCCCAGCGTCAGAAAACTCTTTCCACGCATTTAAAAATAAACACAAATACGTTACACACGTACGTATCAAAAGAGCAGTAGTTTCTCCACTAATCCACACAACTTTTTGCATCCTAAAGAATTATTTTTGTGCAGGTTTCTGGATATGAGAATGATACATACGCAGCTAGGAAACTTCGCAGATATCCATGAAATGATAGGTGATCAAAAAAAGAATGTTATCTATATCCTATTTGATATCTTCCGAATCTAGATACTCACTCATTCAAATAAACAGCAGAGCCCGTAAGATACAAAAAGAAATTATGAAATATCAGAATGATATTTTTATCTGCATAATTTAGAGGGTATCTCTGATTGACGATACCTCGGATAAGTAATTGAGCGAACTTTTGAAAACATCAGAAAAATTGTAGCTAAATAATTAATAAATTGAAAAGAACATTGATTGAAATAAAAAAAAATAAACGGATGAACTATTAAATCCCACGACAGATGGCCACATCAGCAGTAGCAACAGCAGCAGCAGATTCACACAAGATGAAAGTCTTGATATGCATTGATGAGAGCCAATGGGCTGCCGCCGCTTTTGAATGTTAGTGCTACCGTCTGTCTGATTATATACGTCAGCATTTTTTTGAAAATGTTTTCTTGGTAATTGTTTCTTAATTTTAAGAGAAAAATGTTGTTTGGTAATTGTTTCTTAATTTCCAGAGACGAGTAATACCCCATCTCACCGACTGAGATTTTTGTAGATTTGTTATAAAAAAATTCTAGAGGCACCTTTACAATAATTACCTTACCTGACGATCAGGATAACTTTCGCTATTACGAACTGAATATTAAGAACCAATTAAGGATAGTTTAATTATTCTAACAAATATTTCGCAAATTATAACCAAATAGAAACATTTTAAATTCAATTTCCTTAACTAAACACTTTAGAATTGCTAATAGCTTGATGACACGCAGATCCGGCATATTTAAGATTCTTATGTAATGTTTTAAATTGCATTCAGTGTGACAGGATATATGGCTATAGTATATAGCCGAGCCCACAAGAATTAATTTTCTTTTTTTGCTCTCCCAATCATTCATGCTTTTTTGTTTTGTTTGATTGAATAAAAGTGATTTGATATATGATATGATACATAATATGATATATGGTATGATACATGATTAAACATAAGATAGCACAGCAGTGCAAAAAAATCAAGCGATTGATAAACCATCACATTCGTTGAATGAAGCGATCTTTAATATGGACAACTTAATTGCAGGATTTAAATGGATGTGCCCATCATATATACACGCTCCTGTGTGTCTGACTGTGTGTTTGTGTGTGTGTGTGTAACGCGGCGTGAGTCAGTGTTAAACATTTTAAAAAAAACTAAAATCATCAAGATGAAAATAAAAATTATCGCTCCTTTGAAAAAAAAACGAAAGAGTAATAACTTTTTATAAAAAACAAAAATAATAATATGAATAAAAATAATAATAATAATATAATAATAATAATAATAATAATTAATAATAATAATTTTATTACAATTTCGTTAATCAGTTTACTGCAACTCGTTACACAAGGATGGGCATGAGGTTGTTTGCTTCCACTGCATCCATCCACCTTTCTATCCAGGTGAACCAATTAATATTACGTGGACGCTTTGTGTGTGTGTGTCTGTGTGTGCGTGTGCGTACGCGTGTACGTGAGGCCTTTTTTGTAATTCTAATGTCGAACTTATTTCACTTTAAAAACTGACTTAATGACATGACCGATGTAAAAAGTTTTGTATAATAAGTCCAACAATAAATTTGTCTAATGCCTGTCTACCATATACGTTAATTTTATCGTAAACAACTACCATGTGAGGATGTATAACCATAAATCAATGCCATTTTGTTGTGTGGCGAAAAACGATAAGAAACTTTGAGAACATGCAAATCTTTATAGTTTGACAAATGTTTGTGTCATTTATATATAACTTAAGGAAGGCATTGCGATTTCGGTGTTATATACATTCTATTCTATACATTTATATCTTCCGAGCACGAGATCTCTGACTAAGTCCGGAAGATACAAAGTAAAAGAGGTAAAATATCGATCGCCACGCCAAACCACACCTCGCCACACCACACCACCAGGAGACGCCAGCAACGTCAACCCACACGTGTACCAGCTAGCAGCAAAAGAGGCCATTACAAAAGCTGAAGAGCTCGAGAAGAAGTATGCTCAGAAGATGAAAGAGAAGAAGGTGAGTCGCAATTGATGTTCTTTATTTTGGGATAATTTTCTCTGAGTTTTTTCAATTCATAATTTTTATTTGTTTGTTTTGTTCTTAGTTACACATTTTTTCATCCGTAAAAATTAATTTCATTAATTATCTTGAAGATTAAGTTAGATAGATGGTATGAAACTTAAAAGTTAAGCTAGATACATGGTATGAAACTTGAAAGTTAAGTTAGATACATGGTAAGTTAACGGTAAGAACTGAGACATAATATTTGAAAAATGATCCTTCCCCTGCCCACCTCATTAAGATGCCAGGGACGATAACAGCCCGACTGACGAACGAGCCCGGCTACGAGATAGTTAAGAAGGCAGAGGCCGACAAGATCGACCTCATCATCATCGGGACGAGGGGATTAGGAACCCTGAAACGAACCCTACTTGGAAGTGTCAGCCACTACGTCCTACACCATGCCCACTGCCCGGTTCTCGTCTGCAACCACAAACACGAGTGAAGTCGTCATCAATATTGCATACATTCCTACACGTACATACAAACATACATACATACATACATACATACATACATACATACATACATACATACATACATACATACATACATACAAAGTGTTAATCCATTTGTTACTTGATGTTTGACGGTTCAGTGTCACTCATCATGTTTTGGTTTTAACATACATACATATATACGTACATACACAGACATGATATATACAAGGAATACTTATATGTAGGTGTGTGCGTGTGTGTGTGTGTGTGTGTGTGTGTGCGTGACTATATACATATACACAAATGCAAATATAGAGTAAGTTATTCATTAAACCAATTAATTAATTAAACTATTATTATCATTTAAGATATTATTAGAGAAATCATTAAAAAATTATCTTATAAACTGAATTAAACTCTAAATTAGCTGATAATAACCTCAACATCAAGAATGACGACTCTGTAAAGCTGCTTTTTCACATTCAAATTTCTTTCGATAGTTGCCGTTTGAACTTTAAAAGCAATCTTTTTTGCCAGCAGATGAACTGTTATGACCTGAGATTAATTAATTAATTATAAATTAATTTTAATTGAATTATATATAATGAATAGAGAAAAATAAATAGGAATTTTATTTTCCATTAATTTATAATAGATACTAAGTGATTTGTAAAAGAAAATTTGTTCATTTTTGAATTATTTTAATAAATAATTTGTCTAAAATACTAGATCATAAAAGTGATTTATTGAATCAATTAAAGGTGAAATTGAGTAATATATTCTGGAAAAGTTTGAAAAAAAAAAGTTGACAAATATTTTAAAAAAAAGTCCCACCAAATTAGCCTCAATTTTTCTAACAGTTTTCAAACTGCATGCATTAATGTTGAGTGTGTCGGATATGTTCAAATCTTCAAGAAAGCAATTCTTCTCGGAATGTCTGGTCTTTGGTTGCAAATTTAAAATATGATAAATGTTTTAAATGAAAAATAAGTTAACACAATTCAAAATATCAAAAAAAGAGCGATTTTTAAAAGTAGCTAATCTAGGATTTAATAAATATTTGATTGGACTTGAATTGAGAATAAATAAATATATATGGAAAAAAACAGCCATTCCCACCAATTCTGTGTTGATATTTTGCTGAAAGCTTTGCACGAACTCATGCTCACAGCATCTGTTAAATGAGAATTCAGTCAACAAAATCTTTAATATTTCATTCAGAAGAGCTGTATTTTCGTCTGCAATTGTAAGATAAGACCTAATTTTCTTGTGAGAATCAATAACAATGGAAGATATCTTCCTAGAGAACTGTTTCACTTTCAATTTTATGTCAACATCATAATGTTTGATCAGTTTTAGGAGTAGGATGATGATGAGGGTAGAAAAAATTGACGAGTAGACAAACAGATCCAAGACGTCGATGTCTGATAAGGTTATATTTTCATACTTCATTTTGAGATTACGGAATGGGGTGGCTAAGTGTGAAGTCATTCTTTCCAGTAGAGTAGTGTTTGTGTCTGCCATGCTGGTGATGATCCATAGAGTGGAATGGAATGATGGATATTTTATTTTTAATTTCTTTTAATTATTTATTAATTTTTTTTAACTATTTATCTATTTTTAAATGTCAATTAACAATTGAATAACTATTCATAACATAATATGAATAAATGCATTATTCTTTTATAAATAAAAGCATTTATTTATAAAAGGTATTAAGTCTGTAATAAAAACATTTGAATAAAAAAATATAACATGATTACATTGCCATTCTTACTTGAATTAAATTTTAAAATGCATATGCACACACCTCTTCAAAATAGTAAAATTACATACATACATACATACATACATACATACATACATACATACATACATACATACATACATACATACATACATACATACATACATACATACATACATACATACATACATACATACATACATACATACATACATACATACATACATACATACATACATACATACATACATACATACATACATACATACATACATACATACATACATACATACATACATACATACATACATACATACATACATACATACATACATACATACATACATACATACATACATACATACATACATACATACATTTAAACATTTGTTAATGATGCTAAGATAAAGGAATCTGCGGATAAGGAGGGTTTTTTATACAGAGTAAGAGGTACGGTAGGAAAATGGAGAATAATAAAATTCCCCAAAAGATTGGTGCAATAAATAGTTTTTGTGAATTAAATATGAATAAGATTGATTTAACAGGCAGTCATATAAAGAAAGATGTTAATATTATTTTGGGTTTATTAAATATAAGATCAATTTTTTCAAAGTCTGATGTTGTTTACCAATTGATTCAAGAGGGATTGGACATTTTTGTTTTGGTTGAAACCTGGCACGGTTCATCAGATAATTTTTCAGTGAAGTTATCAATGCCACCAGGCTATAGATACGTAGATTTCCTTAGAGTAGATGATCCATTCCACGGAGGACTAATTATATTTTTTAGAATGCAATTTAAATACAAAACTATTGATCTTCCTAAATTTACTACGTTTGAAACTGTTGCTGTTAATTTTATAATAAATGGAATAAATTTTATTTTGTTGGCTTTTTATAGGCCAGGTTCAGCAAATGTGAACTCATTGTTTTTTGAAGAACTTTTTTGTTTGCTGGAAAATATAACTGTTTTAAATTCAAATATCCTGTTAGCAGGTGATTTTAACGTTCATGTGGAAAGACCAGATGATCGTCATGCCATCAATTTGATAGAAATTTTCGAAGCGTTTAATTTGAGGAACTTTGTAAATGAGCCAACTCATAGTCTTGGTGGCATACTTGATTTAATAGTTTGTTCACAGGATTTCCTTGTCACAAACATTAGAATTTTTCCCACTGACATTCATTCTGACCACAGTTTGATACATGCCGGACTACCACTGATGCGCAGATGTCCTAAAAAGGCTCGTAAATTGGTTAGATCTTGGAGACGTATAAATGAAGATGATCTGTTTATGTATGTCAAAAACTCGTTGTTATCGAAACCTTGCCAAAGTAATGATATTGATATTGAATTTGATAATTTAAACGAAGAACTTAAAAGGCTTGCAGACAAAATTGCACCTCTTCATATTGTTGAATATAGATGTGATGTTACTGCTCCATGGTATGATGAAGAATGCAAAATAGCTAAAAGGTATTGTCGCAAAATGGAACGAAAATATAGGCTTTGTATGCTATCTGTCTTACGATAATGTTTCCATAGATTCTTCTCAGTTCATGAAGTTTTTTGATGATAAAATTGAAAAAATCAGGCAAACTACTGATGTTGGTAATAGGCCAGTTTTTGATCAAATCAAGCTAGATAATGATTGTTTGTTGTCTGATTTTTTGATACTAACAGAAATTGATGTGAAAAAAATTATACTTGGTCTGCCATCAAAAACTTGTATATCAGATGCTTTTCCAACACATATCTTCAAGAAATATGTGGACCTGTTTATTGTTTTTCTTACAAGTTTTGTGAACTTAAGCCTAACGAGTGGCATTTTTCCTCGACTTTGTAAGCATGCGGTTGTTCTACCAGTCTTGAAAAAACCGCATTTAGATAAAAATGATATGGCAAATTATAGACCAATTTCGAACATCTGTTTCATGTCTAAGATTATTGAACGGATTGTGGCTACAGAACTTCTAACCCACTTGAATAAACGTAAATTGATGCCTGTATATCAATCTGGGTACCGACGTCACCACTCAACAGAAACTGCTTTGATGTATGTATTATCGGAATTGTTTGCTGCAATTGACAAACAGCATGTTGCTCTGGTAACGTTTTTAGATATGAGTGCAGCATTCGACTGTGTTGACCACCAGATACTTTTAGACAGACTGGTTTATGATTTCGGAATTTCTGGTACTGTGTTTAGATGGCTACGATCATATCTGATGGGAAGAACTCAACAAGCTCTTTTTAATGGTGTATTGTCTGATGTGGGCACAATGTCTTATGGGGTACCGCAAGGCTCGGTTCTGGGGCCGTTACTTTTTGTGCTATACACTGCAGAGCTTTTCGAAAATATTGATATTTTTGGTTTTAAGTACCATGCTTACGCAGATGATATTCAAATAGTAATTAGTGGTAATCCGGATACATTTCAGAGAAAGATAGACAAACTTGTTGAATGTCTGACCAGAGTCGATGAATGGATGTCAAACAACTGTCTCAAACTGAATCAACATAAATCGCAATTCCTTCCCATTGGCACTTGGCAACAAATGTCAAAACTCAGTATTGATTCAGTCATGATACAGAATGAGAGTATTACGTTTTGCAACAAGGCAGCAAATTTGGGTTGCATTCTTGATTCAGGTTTGATGATGAGTGATCATGTAAAGATGCTGACAAAATCGTGTTCCATACAGCTGCAGAGATTGAAAAAATACGTAAATCACTGGATCAGTCGACAACACAGGTTTTAATACATGCATTTGTGCATTCAAGACTGGATTACTGCAATGGTTTATTTTATGGATTGTCAAAAAAGTCTATTGCTTCCCTTCAGTCTATTCAGAATAGAGCAGCCAAACTTGTTGTAGGTAGTTCAAAATATGATCATGTTACGCCAATTTTAAATGACCTCCATTGGCTTACAGTCAGGAAAAGAATTGTATATAAACAGTGTGTTCTAATGTACAAAGCTATTCACGGTTTGCTCCCAGAATATTTAGTGAAAAAAATTAAAATTAAACCAGTAATGTCGAGTGGTATGAACCTGAGATCAGACAATGGCATTATATTGGTTGTTCCTGATACTCAGTTACAGAAAGCATCAAGAGACATTGCAGTTTCAGGACCGGTTGCATGGAACAGTCTTCCGAGATCGTTGAGAGCACTGGGGATGAAATTTGAAGCTTTTAAGAAGAATTTGAAAACTCATTTATTTTTGTTATAATTATTTCTGTTACATTTTTTAATGTTTGCATTGCCGACTCACTTATATTTCATTTGTTTTTTGATATTAGATAGCGCTTTTGAGAATTTTAACTTTTAATTGGCGCTTTATAAATTTTTCTTTAATAATAATAATAATAATACATACATGCATGCATGCATACATACATACATACATACATACAAACATACATACATACAGTATAGTATAGATAGGTCTAAATAATTATAAATTAGCAAATTGTTGTTAATTTACTACACACACACACACACACACATATATATATATTATATATATATATACGACACACACATATATATATATATGTACATATATATATATATATATATACACACACGTACACACAAACACAGTGAAGTCAACAAGCAGCAACACATGTTCAACTTTCTATATTCTATTCTATTATCTATCCAACCTAGTTCTCCTATCTACACCCATCTATGTACAATTCTACACAGTACAACACACCAATAGTTTTTTATGGTTCACTACGAACAAACGAGCCAGAAGATATTAACGTGATTTGGGGCAAAAAATAAATTGATCTAATCACAAAAAAATTATAGCTGCCATTTTAATAAATTATAAATAATCTTTTAAAAAAATCGCGAACTGGTAGCTACTTTGATTTTTTTCGTTTACAATTTAAAAGTGAAAACTTTTAAATCATAATGTATGTGACCATTGAAATGGAGGTAGGAATTAAAATATTTCAAATTATTATAAATGTTGCTTCAGTTAAGTGTATAACAAAAAAAACAATAAAAATAAAATTTTTAAATATTATATTTAAAATACAAACATAAAATATTGTGATTACAATACCAAAAATAAACAAATGAGGTAAACCTTAAAAACCCTTGCCATCTCCAATATTGCATATGTTTTTACTTTTAGTTTCATATCTTAATTGATTTTATTTGTTGTGTCGAGATCAGAGTTTTTAAAACTTAGTCAAATGTCTGATAAAAATGAAAAAACTGAAAACATTTGCGTTTTTAAAAATAGATTTTCAGGCAAAAAGCGAAATTTCAAAAGTAGAAATGCCAAAAAATCATCAGAAGGTTTACGTTCTGTTTTATTTACCTTTTAAATTTAATTTATAAAATTTATAATTTTAAAATTTTATATAATCAAAATTAATTTAATTAATTAAAATGTTAAATAATTATTAAAATATAAACTTTCTCACTTTTATGACGGGGCAGAAGGCAGTAGTGACGATCAGCAGCCAGCCTCTTGCGTTGTCAGGCTGGATAAGAAATCCAATTCATTGAATCCACTTGTCCAAAATGTTGGATATATTTTATTTATGATTATCTACTTGCTTGTTCTTTTTTTTTACATTTGTTTGTCTGTCTGTCGGTTTGTTTGTCTCTTTGTTGGATTTTTGTATCGTTTTAGTAGCTATTAGTTATTATAAATATAAAGTTTACATTTCATATTTCAAATGAAATGTATTTAAAAACTTAAATTCAAAATTTGTTGTAGACTTTTGGCTTTGGTAAACTTTCACAATGCAGACGATGTTTTACCTTGCTTAACAAGACATCACCTCATATCCAAACATGACGATTAATATATCGTGACATTAGTGATAAATTATTAAACCGGTTTTTTGTTTCAGTTTTATTAGTAAGATTGCGGTCATATTTTATTTATAATACGTAAAATTTTTCAATATAATATAATAATTATCTTTCTAATGGAAAATAACTCAAATTAAAATTGTTTTAAATCTCTCTTTTTTCTCTCTCCTTCTATCAGTCAAAAAAGCCCAAAGTGAGAAGAAAATCTAGCAGTGGAGATGATGATGAAAAAGAAGAGGATGGTGATAATCACAACAGGCTCTTTGTAAACTATAAATCAAAGGCAGATACAAATGTACGGGTTTGTTTGCTGTCTCTAGAAATTTCTAGACACTTCTGGATCTTTCATTAAAAAGAAATAAAGCTATTGCAATTATATTTTAAATCGTACATCTGATTTGTTGTAACATTTGTACTGTATCAAATGTTATGTTATGTCATGCTATATTAATGTTATATTAACGTTATACCAGTGCCATATTAGTATTAATTATTTCAGTATATTATATTATATTATAATAATATAATATTATAATAATAATATTAAATTTTATGGTCATATAATCTGATCTTATCAAACATCGTGCTATAATGCAAACATTTGTGATAGTATTTATTATGAAATAATTATAAGTATAGTATTAGTTATTATTATAAATAATAATATTATTATAATTATAAATACTAATTAAATTATTTATTAATTATTAAATATTAAATTAATTAAAGGCCGAGAAGGATGACCAAGGAGCTACGAGGACCTATGACCTGGACACAGAACTAAATAAAGATGCCCAGGCCGTATTTGAAAGGGCACTGATCATTAACAAGGTCATGACCTTTATTATTATTATTATTAGTAGTAGTAGTAATACATACACACACGCACACACACACACACACACACACACAAACCAAACAAACACACACATTCACATACATACACACACAAACACACACGCTTTCACATGCATACACATTCAAAAAAACACACACACATTCACACAGACACATACACACAAACTTTCACAGGAACTTAAAGGCAAAGAGGATGACAAGATATACAGAGGTGTGAATAATTACGCTCAGTACATCGAGAAAAGAGATACGGCCGCCGGAAACGCCGCCTCCGGGATGGTTAGGTAATCAGGAATGATTGTGTTTGGCTGGTCAAGTAGCTGGAGTGTGTTTTGATTGGCTGGTTGGGTAATTAGGGATGATTTTGATTGGCTTGTCAAGTAGCTGTGGTGGATTTTGATTGGCTGGTTGGGTAATTAGGTAGGACTGCGATTGGCAGTGGAGGTATTTGATTGGCTTGTAAGGTAGTTGTGGTTGGTTTTGATTGGCTGCTAGATAGTTAGAAGTTAGTTTTTGTATCATTTCTCTACAAAGCAAATATAATTTCGATATAATTTCGATCAATGATGATATATGATCATCACTGTCGTCATCACAATCTCGTCACATCACAATCATTATTCGTCTGACGTCACCATTACGTCATCATTGCGTCACAACAGGCGGGGACCAATCAGAGCACCGGCTCACTTGAGGGCGACGGTCCGATGGGACTACCAGCCTGATATCTGCAAGGATTACAAGGAAACCGGATACTGTGGATTCGGAGGTGGGCGGAGTTTTATTTGAGTAGCATGCTTTTTGATTGGTTGGTTGCGTGGCGTGGTTTTTGATTGGTTGGTAATGTGTCTTTTGATTGGTTGGTTTTTTTTAAAGTATTTTCCGTTTGATTAGTTAGTGATTGGTCAGTTTACCAGATGGCTCGAATGAATTATTCAATGAATTAAAAGTGTCTCACTGAACGGTTGATCAGAGCAAGTTTCATTGTTTGAATGGAATCAAAGCATTTAAATGCAGGGAAACAAATTCACGTACACATGCCCACTCACATACACTCACACACAGACTACATGCTCACTCACACGCAAACTCACACACACACACACGAAAATTCACTCACACACACATACGCACGCAAACACACACACACACACTCACACACAGACAGTTGCAAGTTCTTACATGACAGAGGTGACTACAAGCATGGCTGGCAGTTGGAGAGAGAAACTGAATTAGGATTGGACGCTAAGCATGA